GGACTAGGGTCAGAACTGACCAGGTTACTGCAACCACCAGTGTGTGTACAGGCTGATGTGGGTGATGGATTGAGCTAGACCCCACACTGGCTGGCTTACACAGAAGTCAGGTCTGGGATCACCTCTGGTGGTTTATTTGGGGACTCTCAAATTGAACTACTGGACTCAGAACTTGAACCACTGATCTGTGGTCTGACAGTGGAGTGAATGCATCAGAACTGGGTATCCTCAGTTGCTAAGTCCTGTGTAGTGAACAGCGTGCCCAGATGCTCATGGAGAACATGACAATTCACTGAGGCCTGCAGATGGAGGGTGGAACAAGTTGGACAACTCTCCCAGTCAAGCTTTGGCAGCAAATACCTGGGTAAAGCGAGACTTTAAGGAAGACTATGTTAGCAATCAACCCTGGAAAGATTGCCTCAAACTTGGAGCAACAAAATCAACAGCATCTCAGAACTACTGAAACCACATAAGCAGTACCCTCAAAAATTGCTCCACACTGGGGCCCTGGGATGACATTGGGTGGCTGTCCCCCATTCCCAGGTAGTGGTATGGTTGGGCTGCTGGGAGCCCAACCCCACTTTCTCTAGATACAGGAAGAAAAAAGGAGACTGGAAGCAGTTGTCTCATCCATTTTTCTTCATTTATCGACCCTCCTCACCCTAATTGGTGGTCTACATGGGCATGCATCTCTCTCAAATATGTAAACATAATCAAGATAAAATGAATTTATTATTTAAAAAAGAAAGACATCTACTCCCTCATCCAAAACAGTCAAGTGACCCGCGTCACTCATAAATGTTTCACCCATGAGCCCAGACCCTCACTGCCAACCGCCTCACATGGACAAGCACCAATGGAGCACTGCCCACAAGGGGAGATATGAAAGACTGAGGTGACTCCATGATGACAACATGGTGGAAACCCTCAACATACACAACACCGTGGGTGGTACCAGACCTTCTCCCTCCTCCCCATACCAGCATGTGTCAGCAAGGCTCCACGTGCTGGGAAAGCCCTCATAGCTTCTATGGAGGACCGCCGGACAGAGTGACACAGGCCTGCTGTGGCATGGCTCCTGTCAGACCCCCACCCAGGCACAGCCTGTGGATAGGAGGCAGCACCATGCACACAGCGCTCCATGTTGCTCCACGCAAGGACCCAGCCTGCATGCCAGAGGGAAGCAGCCCCAGAGCAGGACGCCGAAGGCTGACGCAGCATGCGAGTTCCAGAGTGCTGGAGATGGTCCCAATCAGACAGAAAGCAGACTGTGAGCTCCCTGACTGCCATGGCCTAGGAGCTGTCTGAGACCAACCCTCCACAGAGACCCACCAGGGAGAACAGAGAGACCCACCAGCTGATTCACCCAGTTCAAGTGAAGACGCCAGAGGACATCAGAGTTCCTGTCACCAAAGACATGGACTTCTCCAAAGAACAGAAATCTAGTTGTCCCAGAGAAATCAGTGTCAGAAAGCAACCGAGCATTTAACCCTCCTGGGTCCCACTTCTACCACCAATTACAGCAAACACCACTGCCACAGCAGCTGTGGCCTGGAGACTCAGGTCTGTGGCACCAGGCAGAGGCTGAGCACACCACACCTGTCATTTCTTCACCACACCTGGCCTCAGGACATGCCATCATTACACTCATCTGTCCAACTCAAGAGCAGCTATGCCAACTGCCAGGTCAGAAACCCTGTCCTTAGGACATGTAACCCTAACTCAAGAGACCAGGAGAGGAACTGCAGGATGCCTAATGCAGCCGGAAGTCACCATGGGGCTCAGGGCAAGCTCCTCTGCTCTACCCAAGCTTTCTGCTCCTATGCAGCAGTGATGGGTCAGGCACCTGGGACCCTATGACCCACGTGGGTAACCAGGGTGGAATGAACCAAAAGGTAGAAGATACCTCTCTCTCTGTTTCTCTCTTCTTGTGTCTCTTTGTTTCTGTCTTTCAAATACAATGAAAACACTCAAAAAATAATAATAAATTCCAGGAAGCTGGTGCCATGGCATAGTAAGTTATTCCTCCACCTGCATGCAGCATTAGCATCTCATATGGGTGCTAATTCTAGTTGCAGCTGCTCCACTTCTCATCCAGGAGGGCAGTGGAGGGTGGTCCAAGGGCGCACCCCACACCTGCTCCACTTCTCATCCGGGAGGGCAATGGAGGGTGGTCCAAATGGTCACAGTGGCACCCACGTGGCAGACCCAGAGGAAGCTCCAGGATCCTGGTTCCAGACTAGCCTAGCTCCAGCCCTCCAGCCATTGTGGTCATTTGGGGAGTGAATGGAAAAGATATCTTTCTTTCTCTCTCTCTCTCTCTCTCTCTCTCTCTCTCTCTCTCTCTCTGTGTGTGTGTGTGTGTGTGTGTGTGTGTGTGTGTAACTCTGCCTTTCAAATAAAAATAAATCCAAAAACAAAGAAAAAAGAATATCCCATCTCTTCAATAAGAGTTTCCCTGATGCCTGTATCTCATTTTTCACTTTCAGCAAGAGGTGGGGTGAAGAAAACTGGGGCAAGCAAGAGAAGGGACTCAGCACCAAGGACCCTGTGTGGGGCTGAGGGCTGCTCCAACCACACAGGGGTGGGCACACCCTGGCGGAGACAGCTGACCAGGACCCAGTCATGACATCACTTCCTGCTTCCTTTTCCACAGGAAGAGAGACTTCTCCACAAGGACCCTGAAAAGAAAGGAGCCACCAAGCAAGTGGGCAGTTAGTGCCAGAGTCAGTGGTGACCTTGCAACTGCTCGCACTTGGAGCACAGGAAGAGGAGAGGCTATGGGAGGGCAGAGGAACTGGCCATGTCCTAGAACAGCCATGTCCTGTAGCTGTGGGAAATAAATCTTCCTAAATGGAAAACATGAATAGAGCTGTGTTTTGTCTTCCTAACTCATCTCATCAGCCCCACTGCACCTGCCAAAGTCCTGATCCTGGTGGCTTTCTGATATCCACTGAACCAGGCCATTTGGGGCACATGGATGATGCAGTCCCTCCTGGCCACCTTCTGGGGCCAGGGTTGGCCAAGGTGTCCTACAGCTATCATCAGGGCTGCTGCTGCCAACAGTCCCACTCTCCCTGGGGTTATGCTCCTATCCCCAGGACCACCATAAACAGACCGTGAGTCACAGCCTCTGCCAGAGCCCTGGAGGGCAGGCCCATCTCCCACACTGACAGCTTCCTTAGATGGCCCCAAGGCCAACTCTATCCAGGGGTTGAAAGCTGCACTGTGTGTGCTGCCAACCCCAGAGCTCAGGCAGTGTCCCTGGGAAGGCAGCAGGTACTGCCCCTACACACCAGCAGCAGTGGGAGCAGCTTCCCGTCCATGCCTCTGGAGGGGACACATGGACCAGCCTCCACCACCCAGCTCTGCCATTGGCTGTCGTTTTGCAATCCTTGTGCGAGTTACTATGGAAAAAAAAGACTTCTGAGGTGGCAAAAGCTGTTTCCCTGTGAATGTTTCACAATCAAACTCAAATCCCCTATAAAATAAACACCTGGACCATCTGGTGTCCACAGCTGTGATGAGACGAGACCCTACCACGGAGGCCTGAAGCAGAAGAGGGAAGAGCCGAACAGAGGCCGCAGATCGCAGGGCGAGAAGGAAAACCCAGCATGAAGTACACTGACCATGATTGCAAGACCACTGCCCATCAACACCAGCTGGGAGCAGAAGACAGGGCCAGAGCCCCACACCTTCCCCACTACCGCCTCCCTCCGTACCACTGCCATCTTCCTGCAAGATTTCCAGCCAGCTTGCTGTCCTCCTCAAGCACAGCATCAGAAAAGCCTTCAAATGGCAGAGACAGACTGACAGCACACCAGGCCCAGGCTTCACCCACCCCCATGGCAAGAGTTCCCACCCACAGGATCTCTGCTTTTTAAGAGCCCGTCCCTCTGCATACCTTACTGTCCAATAAAAACAAAAATCTTAAAAAAAAAAAAAGAGCCTGTCCAGTAGACACCCTCAATGGCAACTGCCCTCAAAGAAAAGCTGCCAGACATCTAACAACGCCTGATTCACAGGGCTAGGGTCTCCCCTGACCCTCAGTCCACCCTCTCCCAGGAAATGACTGTTCTGTTGAACCCAGCCCACAGCCAGCACTAGGTATGACCCCCAAGGAAGCCCGTCCAGAAACACAGCAGAGGGCGAAGACAAGACACTGACAGGAGCTGAGTCCCCTGATGGCGACTTTTCCTCCTGACGCCGGATGTGAGTTTGTCTCAAACAAGGCTGACTGATCTGGGATAGCTATCACACCTCCTTGGGCTTTCACTGAACCCACATCTGACTAGAGACAGGGCTCAGTCCACCCTGCCCCTTGCTTTCCCAGCCCCACCTCAGACCCAGACTCTGGGATGACCACAGGGGCTCGCATCACAAACAACTTTCCCATCATTTATTCTCAGGAACATGCAATATCACCAGCAAAAAGAACAATACTGGAGTCAGGGGTCCCTGTTCCCAGCCCTCACCCAACCCTGGAGTAAGGAGGGCCCCTGTCCCCAACCCTGCCTCAACCCTGAAATAAGGAGTCCCCTGTCCCCAACCCTTACTCAACACTGGAGTCAGGAGTCCCCTGTCCCCAACCCTGCCTCAACCAACCCTGGAGTAAGGAGGGTCCCTGTCCCCAACCCTTAATCAACGCTGGAGTCAGGAGTCCCCTGTGCCCAACCCTGCCTCAACCCTGGAGTCGGGGGCGGGGACTGTCCCAATCATCCCTCAATCCTAGATTCAGGAGGGACTCGTCCCCAATTCTTCCTCAATTCTAGAGTCGGGGGGCGGGGGACTTTTCCCAACCCTCCCTCAACGCTGGAGTCAGCAGTCCCCTGGCCCCCTGCACTTCCTTCTGACCACCAAGCTTCAAAGCCCCTCTGTGAAGACATAACTGAAATTGCAAGAAGTAAGGACCTTGCCACAGGCACATAGTGGTCTACATCCCAGGGTACCGTGGCCCCACCCAGGCCTGCTATCCATACGTCCCTGGCATGTCCACTCACATGTAGCGCAGGTGGGGGTTCTTGGCAAAGGCTCTAGGTTGGATGCTCCGCAGACCTGAATTCCGGATGGTCCTGGACAGGGAGAAAAGAGGCTCAGCACAGAGGAGACCGGGGGTCTTGGGCCACACCTCATGCCTCACAGGGGCCTCAACAAGGACTGGCAGCCACCCTGCCTCAGGAGTGAACATAGGGGCTCCTGTGGTCCTCACAGCCACCAGCAGAGGCAGCACCCGGTACATGGCATGACTGCAGCCACTACCTGGCCTTGCTGGGGTCCCAGGGCTAAGATGTGTGCCACCCCTAAGGGTGCAGTACCAACCCCACCAGAGGTCCCAAGGGTGACATGACCACACCCCCATGCCCGGGCTGGCACTCACAGCTTCTGGAGTCCAGTGTAGAGTTCCATGTCCACAGCATTGAGCGTGTGCAAGCTGGGCCAGTTCTCGATGTATCTGCAGGGAAGAAAGACAGGACAATCAGCACTGGAGTGAGAGGCCCCACGGTGGGATCCAGGGTCAGCCAAATGCAAGCCTGGCCTTCCATCATGGTCAAACCTCTGAGCCCAGGGCCTTCCTCTTGTTGGCAGGAGTCCTGCCACCTGCCTGTGGAATCCTTGTGGGAGATAGGCTGCCTGGTGGGTTTACTAATGGCCATGTGGCATTGTATGTACCCTCCCTACCCCCGGCTACAGATTCCACTCTACCTGCCTGCTTCTCCTGACTCATCTTCCCCCTATTTAGGAGTTCCTAAGGACAAAGGACAAGCTCTTTCTTTCCCAGTCATTGCCCCTGAAGAGGACACCAATGACACTGAATGACAAAGGAGAGTGGCTTCAGTACAGGGTGCTGACGCCAGCAACCACTCCCCATCAGAAGGCTCAGGAGAAGCAGTGGTGTGAACCCGGTACTGACCCTGAAAGCAGCAAGACACCTCACAGGGCGGCACATTTGGGAGTCACAGCCTTCGGGCAGCTGCCGGCCCCACTCGCCTCTCCTAAACTAGCACTGCTCCCTTTCTCTGCCCCGGACCTGGAGTTGAAGGAGCTCGTGCATTAAGTAGGCATCAATTCAGCTTGTTGGATTTTTCATCAAAGACATAAATCACTGTTAAGTAGAGCTGTATAATCAACAGATATAAACCAGTGCCAAATTCCAGCAGAAAGCAAAGAAACTGGGAGTTTGTGTCTGCAGAAGGCTACTCATGGGCAGACTACTGATGCCCGGGGCTCTGTAACATGCAGGCTGTGTCAAAGACGCCCATTCACACACAGCTGCTATCCCACGGGGCTAGGGAACTGCCCTCCCTGCCCCCACCCCTCACTGCTATCCCACGGGGCTAAGAAACTGGCCTCCCTGCCCCCACCCTTCCGGACAGGACCCACAAGGTGTCAGCACAGAGAAGCGGCAGCCCACTCCAGACAGAGCTACCCAGGCATGCTCCGGCTGGCACACACAGCCACCTGTCCTGCATAGCTCTGCCCGGTTCTGCCACACCCGTGGCTCTGCCATCTGCCACCAAGTCAAACGGGAGCCAGGAAGGCAGCAGGATAGCGGCTGCCAGGGCCTCTGGAAGAACTTCCAACCATGCAGTGACGACAAGGGCTGACGGCCTGTTCCCCAGCATGTCCTCCTGGGGTCCTGTGGAACAGCCAGGGACGGGGATGGTGAGTCCACACTGAGCTCCAGATCCAGAATCTCTGGGAACCACCCAGCCCAAGGCTGCTTCCTTGGTCTAACCCCACCAGGGTAATAAACTGGCAACCATGTGCCACTAGGTCACTCTGTACACTCCCAGGCCACAGTCACCGAGTAGATGACAACATGCACCACAGCACACTACCCACGGCAGAACAGCTCCCAGCAATCACCTGTCCATCAAAGCCCATATGGAGCCCCTCTTGTCAGTCCCACCTGGAGCTTGTGTGTGCCGGATACAAGTAGGCTACAGAGTACATTAGACTATAATGTACTCAGAACCGCTCTTCCAAACCCCCCCAGAGCCCTTGGCATGCCTGACACAGGTGGGCTACAAACCAGTGCTACACTCAGTCTTTGCTCTTTTCAGCCCAACCCCTCCCCAGTGTGTGTACCCCGAGGTGCACAGGACTAGCCTGATTAGTAGCATGGATGAAATACAACTCAACAGTGCACAGAGGGCACAGCAGTCTTCAGTGAGACTCGATCAGAATGCACTTCTATACAGAGCCCTCCTTCCTCCTATGCAGTTTGGGCCAGTGTGGCAATGAGCTGGCAATCCACAAGCATCTAAATATCAGACTGGCAAGGCTGTGTGGTCCACATTTTCATTAAAAACATGTCACAGGGAGCTGCTTCCACCTCTAGGCTTTGGTGTTGAAGGCTGGCAGCTGCTCTGCATGGGAGACTCCGCAGCTCTGGTGTGTCCACCTCCACCTGACCCCAGAGGATCACAGTGCCCACTGAGGCCCTCTGAGCACAAAGGTCTCCACAGGGGATGGTGGAAGTAGGCAGGGCACATGGTGGTGAGACCTCTGAGCCCTCTGTTCTTGAGATGTGGCAATCCTGGTACTGCCTCGTCATCCAACTTCCACTGCTGCCTCTCATTGTCACTTCACTCACCACAGTGGTGGGCCACTCTCTATAACCCCAAAATGCAAAAGCTGCACTTTCACCTTACTGGTCTTATATTTCTTGTTTTGCCAGATGCATGAGCAACCTCCTTGCTGTTTAAGTAGCAGGCGAAACAGTGCATTCAAATGTCCTTGGTCCCCCATACTACTGCCAACCCCGTGGTATGCTGGGTGCTCCACACATTCGGAACCCAAAGCTCATTCCGTGTCAGGCATTACTGTCACTGTGTCATTTCTACCCATCCACATGCTCTTTTTCTTTGGTTGCGGCCTGTGGGCTTCACTTTCAGAGCCTCTACTGCCCACCATGCGCACAGTGTCCCTCGGAGCCTCACAAGCGTTCCCATATGAGCCACCTCACAGACACTGTCAACCACTTCCTGCCAATGTGCCCAGTGGACACACACCACCCTGGTGCATGGCCATGGTCAGAACCATGGTCAAGAAGAGAAACTAGAATCCAATGGGGATTTTAACAACAATGAAAACACACACAGTTAGACAATCACTCTCGCTTTCTTGCTGTGAGCTCTGGTAACAAGTTTTCCTGCTTTGCAGGCCATGCTTGCGGGGTCCACCAGGAATCTCGGGTTCTAGTCACTGCTCTGGGAGCTGCCTTTCCCCAGCACAGGAGCTTTGGAAAACAAGGTCAATATGCCATGTGCTCTCAGCCCAGCACTCTCATCTTTGCACCTAATCTGTTCTCGAAGGGAGCTACACTGAAGGATCAAGACAAGTGCATAGCAAAAGCAGCCTGGAGTTCCATTTCCTAATAAATCCTCACTGGGCTCCATTAGAGCACACACACACAAAACACACACACACACACACACACACACACTATTCCATGTGCAAATCAAGGCTCACACACACATATTATGTCATGCTGTGTTAGTGCTCACACACACACTGTCATGTGTGCATTAGTGCTCACACACACATACACACACATTCCCAAGCACTTGACTCCAAAGCCTGGCAGGGCACTGAGGAAATTGGTTATTAGGGTGTGTTGTGCCTGGCAATCCAGACAACAGTTCTAAACAAACTCCCTGCGGCACCAAGGGAGCTGGGGGGCGTGGCCTTGGATCATGCTAACAAGTCCAGGCCACACCACAGCTGTGGTGGGGGACTCAATGCCTGGAGGGCTTGGTGCTGGGTTGGTAACCTGGCCTATCAACACTTGAGATACAGCTTACCACAGGCAGCAGGTGCCAAAGACCACAGCAGCCAGCCCGTGTCTGGAACCTGCTGGAAGAACATTTGGATTCTGTGGTGAACAGATGGGAGGCAGCAGCCCCAGAGCTGCCCCCGATCAACTTCAAGGCTGAGGACACAGACAAAAGATCAGTGTCCACTTGCGCTCTCCTGATGCACAGATGCCATGTGCTAACACACTAAGAAAAACCTGCTAGGAGCCAGATGCCATCTATGTGTGCCCCACCCAGTACACTGAGGAGTTCCTCAGGCTCTGGGAGAACCTCCAGAAGATGACAGCCCCCCACCTAGACTTACCTACCAGTGTCCTAGGTAACATCCACCTCTGGATTCAACAAGGGCCAAGGCCCCACTGAACACCCTTATCCATTCTTGTCTTTCAACAGCCTCCCGCCAGAGCTACCACACTCTGCCTCATCTGCAAGCAGAGCTGACGCACCCTGTCCTGCTTACTGGGGTGCAAGCCTGTCACAGAACTGCATGTGTGTCCTTAGGCTGTATCTGATCCTCCTGCCCTCAATCTCTGCCTGAGTCGCCACATAGATGAGCACACACCTATGAGGCCTCTAGACCAATGCTGCCTGACCTACTTCCAGAAGACCCCAAACTTGGAGCTGGAATGGCCCACACCTACCTCCCATCATCCCAGGAGCTGAGCCTTTGAAGATGGAGATGGCCCAGGGTACAGCTGTGGACAGGCCTTGGGGAGCTTAGCACAGGACTCAGAAACAGGACAAGATGGTCCTATCCTCCACACACATCACTGCCTCCCCTGGAGTATCTACCACTGCACTGAGACCACACTGTGAGAACACCAGCACAGGGACCCAGCATGGTAGCCTAATGGCTGAAGTCCTTACCTTGTATGTCCCAGGATCCCATATGGACGCCAGTTCGTGCCCCAGCAGTCTCACTTCTCATCCAGCTCCCTGCTTGTGGGCTGAAAAAGCAGTCGAGGATGTCCCAAAGCCTTGGGACCCTGCACCCACCTGGGAGACCTGGAAGCAGCTCCTGGCTCCTGGCTTTGGATTGGCTCAGTTCTGACCATTGTGGCACTTGGGGAATGAATTAGCACACAGATTTTCTCTCTGTCTTTCCCTTTCTGTATATCTGACTTTCCATAAAAATAAATAAAATAAATCTTTAAAAAAGAAAAAAGCTAAAAAGAACACCAGCACAGATCACATTGGGAAATCACCAGATTCTTCCCTCTTAAGCCTCCTGACCTGCAGAGGCCCTGTATCCAGATGGCCCCATTACCTGCACACAGCCCTTCTCTTCTTGCCTTCTTGAATATATGCTGTCTACTCACTGGTCTCCCTCTCTGACTCCAGATCTCAGCCTGAAGCTCCTCATTCCACTTTCTCCCCCAAGGCAAGATGAGCTCACCCAGGATTCAGATCTGAGCCCATCTGTGCTCGATGTGGTCTTCCAGCCAGACCTGCCCCTACAGTGCAGGATCCAAGCAGATATAATCCCAGTCTTTGCTTCCACCGGCTGAGCCTGCTATGTCTCAGACTATGGCACAGCCATCACTCCAACTCTCCCTCCTCACCCTTAGGATGTGCATCCCATGAGGAAGTCCATCCCAGTAACAGCTCGCATGCAGCTCACAAGGCCGCTGCC